CCCAACAACAGACTGTTCTCTCTGCTGAGGTCAGGAAAGCGATTCCGCTCCCTGAAGACCAACACAGAGAGACTGAGGAGGAGCTTCTTCCCGCAGGCGATACGGTCTCTCAATCACACCACCACACAGTACTGACCCACACATGGTTCTTACACACACACTGGACTTTCTGGACTTTGTTTTTGCACAACACTGGTCACTATATTCTTCATTTCCGAGTTAATACTTGTACAGCTGCTGTTATTGTGTATATATTTATTTATATTTAGATTTCTTCATACATTCTTATATAGTTCTATATTGTGTATTTTGTTGACAGTTATTTTATTTTCAACTTTAATTTATATATTTTATCTTATTCTTCCCAGTTAAATTTACCCTTCATTCTAATTTGTGTTGTACAGTTATTTCATTTTTAACCTTAATTTATATTTTATTCCTTCCTAGTTAAATTTACCCTTTTTAATTTTTCATATTTATTTCCTATCTTATTCATAGCCTTTCCTTTTTTTGTTTTCTTTAGGTCACGAGCAGTTGTCCAAGCATTTCACTACATATCGTACTGTGTATGACTGTGTACGTGACAAATAAAATTTGAATTTGAATTTGAATTTGCCATCTCTGATAAACTAAGCTAGAGATTCACAAACTTCGCACACTCTGTCACACTACCATTTTCTTGATGAAACAAATTCACCTCTTATAACGAAGTTATCAAGAACATCAGGAGGACAGCGTCACAGATCTGTGACATTATAAGCATGAAACTATGCAGCTGCAGGATGGTTGCTCTCCTTTTCTTCTCTCAGATGGTCAACCAGGGCATGCACAATGGTGAGTAACCATGGTTACAGGGGGGGCACTCAGAAACTCTTATGATCCCCAGTAAAAGATCTCAGGTTATAATAGCCATGCAAAATTAATTATGTACCCAAAGACTAAAACCTAAAGAAATATACTGTGAATATAGAGACATTTTAACAAGGTCAGTCCATCATTTCCTCCACGTCTCACTGTCATTCGCCACATGAGCCTTGAAGTCTGTACACATCCTTACCAACGAGCTCAGCTCCATCAACTTTAGAAGCCACTGTCCACTGACAGCCTTGTCATAGTTGGATACTCAGGCTATGGTGGACTTGGGATGCAGTAGACTATGGTCCATGGTCCACCAAACTGTGGTTTGTCTGGGGGGCACTTCTGGAGGAACAGTAGGTGGAAGTCAGGTGTGTGTATTGGGACATTCATAAACATGAGAACCCTCAGGACTTGACAAATCGTTCTTGTGTATGACTGTGTACGTGACAAATAAAATTTGAATTTGAATTTGAATTTGCCATCTCTGATAAACTAAGCTAGAGATTCACAAACTTCGCACACTCTGTCACACTACCATTTTCTTGATGAAACAAATTCACCTCTTATAACGAAGTTATCAAGAACATCAGGAGGACAGCGTCACAGATCTGTGACATTATAAGCATGAAACTATGCAGCTGCAGGATGGTTGCTCTCCTTTTCTTCTCTCAGATGGTCAACCAGGGCATGCACAATGGTGAGTAACCATGGTTACAGGGGGGGCACTCAGAAACTCTTATGATCCCCAGTAAAAGATCTCAGGTTATAATAGCCATGCAAAATTAATTATGTACCCAAAGACTAAAACCTAAAGAAATATACTGTGAATATAGAGACATTTTAACAAGGTCAGTCCATCATTTCCTCCACGTCTCACTGTCATTCGCCACATGAGCCTTGAAGTCTGTACACATCCTTACCAACGAGCTCAGCTCCATCAACTTTAGAAGCCACTGTCCACTGACAGCCTTGTCATAGTTGGATACTCAGGCTATGGTGGACTTGGGATGCAGTAGACTATGGTCCATGGTCCACCAAACTGTGGTTTGTCTGGGGGGCACTTCTGGAGGAACAGTAGGTGGAAGTCAGGTGTGTGTATTGGGACATTCATAAACATGAGAACCCTCAGGACTTGACAAATCGTCAGTATATTACGCCTCAGGAGTGAGAATGGGCTGGGCCAGCTGACCTAAGAGACCGACAAGGTGTGTAGGGATGAAGAAGCTCAGAGAGGTAAGGCGGGGCAAGATTGTGAAAGCATTTAAAAACAAACATAAGAATTTTAAAATGAAGCCTAAAAGACACATTGTGACATCCTCTAAATGGACTTCAATACTGATTAATGGAAAACCACTGACTGTTCAGCAGATGTTAGGCTTTTTAGGGCTGCCTTTTTTAGGCTGGTTAGAGTCTAAATCACAAATTATGTAAATATTACCCAACCTCTTTGTGACATTGTGGCACAAGCTGGCAACTGAAACTTGACAGCAACACTTATTTGGACAGTAAAGGGTGAAAATGTACTGATGTACTACAGTTCAAGACTGGACATGGAAAAGGCCAAGCTGGATACATTCAATACCTTGCAGCCCTAGTAAAAAAAAACCTAGCCACATTGTAATGTACCACCCACTAATAGTAAGCACAAATCACAGAGTGGTTACATTTCTCAGCTCATGTGCGTTCATTTTTTCCCCAGCCAGAAAACCCAGAATCTGCAGCATTTTGATAAAACCACACAACACCTATTGAACAGAAGGGATTAACATGGCAGTTGGAATGACTTCCAAAGAACATGAGCCATATGACTATGCTGAGGTGGCTGTAAAGGACATCAGATTGAGAGCAGACCTGAGGACAGAGCCTTTAGAAGATCCTGATCTCACCCGATTGGGAGAGTGAGAAGGGGAACATGGTCTCATTTGCAGTGGTACAACAATCCCCACTTGGGACATCGACTAAACCTACAGACATGAAGCTATGGGTCGACGATGGTAATTACGACAGAAACCTTACCACAACTCACTGAAGATAAGACATTATGGGAATGCAGAAACAAGCAGGAGCCTATGAAATCAATGAATGGATAAAAAGGGGAGCTATACAGACGGATGGGCTCTTGTTCACATCATGGGAGAATAGTGGCACCAGTGAAACTTTGTCAGCCTCTGATCAAGCAAGCACATGGCCCTGTGCATGTCAGTAAAAGGTTAACTCAGAGAAATATGGAAGAATTGTGATGGTACCCACAAATGGGAGACATTTTGTAGAACTAAATTGCTCACTGTCTCAAGTGCAATGAGCACAAGCCTTTCGTGGGAAAGTTCCCAGACGCCCCATTCAAAGACATTAGCATTGACTTCACTGTCATGGGAGCTGAACACAGAACAAAGGGATAAATATACTTACTGGTAATGGTGGACAGATTCGCTAAATGGGTGGAAGCAATTTTCTGACTGTGACTATGATAGGGAGTGCCAAGAATCATCAGGTCTGGCAAAGGGTCACATTTTAATAATAAGCACTTATCTGAGGTTGTGAGAGCTTTAGGAATAACGCACCGATTCAGGGCAGTATATCATCTGGCATCTCAGGGTATTATAAAAAGAGCAACCAAAATGACATTGGCACGATTGGCATTAATATCCTCACTGCAGAGTAAGACACATTTGACTCCACATGAACTCTTGACAGTGTGTCCAATGCCTGGACCCCAAGACTGGGAACACATCTCCTTGCTTTAGACAACTGGCAGATAGGCTGTGATGAGCACATGACTGCTCTAACCAATCTGACTCGAGATAACTCTAAACAGGTCCAGATGCCTGTAGTAAAGGTAGCTGGCTGGGTGCGAGTAAAAGTTCCCAAAAGAACTTGGGCTGAGCCCAGATGGACTGGACCATATTGAAGCCACTAGGTGCCTTCCCAGCTTTGACAGATGTCCAGCTGAGATTTTCCTGATTTGTCTATTGATGCAAGTGAGCAGATGAAGGGGACTCCTTTTTTGTGACATACTTCTAGTAAAGACAAGAACATTAAAACAAATTCTACTTACATTTCAACTGTAAAACACACACAAGCTGTCACTCTGATGAATTAAACCTGCTAACAGTTGTCTTTGGCCACTGAGGACTGGCTTACATCCTCACCAAGTCTCAGTTATAGCATAGAGGCTAAGAGTAACCTGGTTAACAATAGAACACAAATGGATTTACACAGTCTCTCTCTGTACGATAACTTTGAGAAAGCAAAATGTACCTGGAGTGGTATAGACTAAAGTGGTGGAACCTGGTCTGCTTTTCTGTGTAAGTATTTATTTACTCTTGTAGAGTCCAAAAATAAAAACGTGGAGCTGGAAATGAGCAGTTACTTTAACATCTCTGATCCTGGACCAGGATTTACTTGGCAATGAATCAATACCAAATTTAGTAGTATCACCCACCTCCATTTGATAAACACGGGAGCTTCTTGTTCCAGAAAATCAGATATTTCACAGAGAGGTTTGAAGTCCCTTGATCAGCCAATTAAATGCTAGACAGACCACTTATGCCTGAAGTGCACTTGTATAGGCGATAGGACAGGTCTCAGCAGGTTTGGGGATCCCAAGAACAATCTATCCAGCTTACTCATCAACCTTATCATATAATTTTTACTAAACATAGTTTTCCCTTTTAATATTTCACTTAAATGCAAACACACAAATTCTTGAATAACTAGATCAAATGATATAATGATTAGATTAAATCGAGTTATTTATGACCTTAGTTTTCTCATCTATTTACTGCTGTCATATCTTATTTCCATTTGCTGTGCCCCCTTTCCCTCTTAATATGTTTCCTTCAGTGTTTCCTAAGTTATGTATCTTCTTTAGTTCTTTATTTTCATTTTCTTCTCCCTTGTTTCATATCCTTATTACTTTCACTTCTTCTTAATCTTTCTCCCCAACCAAACCAAACTTTAAAATGTTTTTGCACTATTTTAATTCCTATTCTACCCTGACACAAATATCAATTAATAAATACAAAATTAACGGCTGAATGAAGTCGAGTAATTGCCAGTGTCTCTATTAATGGTCGTGTGGAGGAATTGAGCCAGTGAAATGTGGGCGGCGCACCGCCTCGGTGTGGCCGCTCCTCTCCAGTCAGCCAGACTGCGTGAAGAACAACGGACAGAGCGAAACGGCGTCGCACACTGGGACCTGCGAGCTGTACTACACATACGTAAATAGCCAACTCACAGCCTGCATAGTACAATATGGAGCTGTGAGGGTCGTGGACCTACTTTCTCTCGCTCTGCATAAAAAACACTACATTGTTTATTTTCCGCATTTACGAGTATTTTCCACCAACATGGAGACTACAGGCTTCTGGCTGCTACTGGCTGCACACTTTATCCTTATCTGCCAACAAGGTAAGGCATGTTGTAATTAATGTTAGTGTGTTATTCACAGAAACAGTTAATAGTGTTTCAAAAGTGCGGTGGCCTTTTACTTGCTGCGCCAACTTTTAGGTGATCACTAGCTTTAGGTAAGTTGAGCAGTACGCTCTCTCAAAAAACAAAACAAAAAAAAAAAACCCGAAAAAAATCTTTTTGTAGTCTTTGTATTTTGTTAGCATTAGAAAGTTTTTTTGTCTGGTCTATATAAATTTATGAACTCATTTTCCTAGCTGTGGCTGAGATGCCACACACACACTTCTTTTCTTAATTACTCAGTGGGATCTCAGATTAAAATGTTCTGAGGCATAGAGTGTCACACATAAATTCTAAACTGGAGCTGTCAAGCATGAAAGGAGAGGTCTGGACACGGTCTAACTGGTTTATTAAGAGTGTCAGACGCTCTGTATTTATAAACAACAGCAATTGAAACCCAGTAACACATTACACAGTAACACATTAT